GGGTTTCCCCTTTAGTATGGTCTAACCGCGGATTCGCTCCATGTCTCTCAGTTTCTGAACTGACCCTTTCTAAAACAACATCCTTTTCGTGCCGTCTTTGGGAGCTTGGGTTCTCAATCCAAAGACATGAGGGGAAGGGAAGTCTGGGACCTGAGGCCCCGGTGCAGGACTCCTTTCCGTTCTCCTGCCTGTGATTTGGGCTTGTGAGCCAGACCCCTTCCTCCCTTCCTCTGTCTTGCCTGCGTGGAACATAAAGTCTTCAGAGCAGGCAGAGTCTCACTGAATCTGTCCAGTGCTGTGAGGTCCTGGCTCCATGTGGAGCCTTCTGGGGATTCGTGCAACACAGAGAGATCTCTGCCAGCCGTTCTCCAGGGAACCCAAATGTCTTTGGGGGACTTGCACCAGAACCTGCTTAATCCTGCTTCTTGCATCAGCAGGAGCACCAGAAAGATCATGAGAGGAGGGACAAGCTAGTCAGAAGAGGAACAAGCCAAATCATAATGTCTCCTGTCCCAGGGCAGGTAAATTCGTCCTCATCAAATTGCATCCTTGTCTTTCCTGCCAAGGCCTTCACACGTTGGCCAACTCCTCCTGGCTGCTCTCATCTCGCCCATGCATTCCCTGTCAGCCCAGTCCTGTGCCTATAACCAGCCTCCCTGCATGGGGCTAAGGTGGTGCTGCCTGCTCCTCACAATCCTTTCTTGAATCTTATTTCTACTGCTGGGACCAAGGATGCTGGCTGAATGGGGATGTTCAGGGAAGCAGGCAGAAACGGAGACCTGAGCTACATAAATGGTTGTATATTTTTCACAAAACAAGTGCACACAAAACTTTCTCTGTTTGATAGAGCCCATTGCCCCGCTCCAGTGCTTTTCCAGGCTGGGGCCATCTTCTTGCCTGCCACAGTTCAGCACGCAGCACTTTGGGACCTTTATCTCAGTCAGTGCTTCTGTTCACAGCTATGATATGAATATGCAATGCTGGGGACAGTGCTAAAAAGAGATGTCCTGTGTATGAGTCCCTAAACCCTGTTAGCATCCCCTGGATCATGGACAAGAGGTCCATCTCAAAAGGTCTACGTGGCACAATGTAGGCCATGCTCCAGTGCCAGGAGTTAGGACACCAATATAATCTTGGTGCCCCACTTGTGAAACACTGTGATTTAGGCAGGGCAGAGCAGAGGCTGGAGTTATTCATGGAGGGTGAGAAATTACAATTCAGAACATCTTCCTTAGGAAAGATTTAACAGGGGGAGTGGGACATGCACAGGGTAATCATACCTCCCACCTCTTTCCTCATGACAATCAAGCAGGAAGAACGGGATGTTTAACGATGGGTACGAATATGACTTTACAGTAAAGCACCTCCCCTGCCAGCGCTGTGCACTGGGCTCTGCTCTGCCGGCTCTCGGAGCGGTGGAAGCAGAAGGAAGAAACACACGTCCCGACAGGGCGACGCACCAGCAGCAGCCAGTGACAGGGGGCAGATTTGCATGAAGGGGCTGGGCTCAGCTCTGATTTGCATGAAGGGGCCGGTCTCAGCTCTGCGGCTTTATGAGAGACTTGGAGGGCCCCAGCCTGGGAGACTTTTGCCTCAGGAAACCGAACTGGTCAGGATTGTCACCATGGCCTGTGCCCTGCTCCTCCTGGTGCTGATCTCATGCTGCTCAGGTGGGCA